AGTTGAATGGTTCAAATCCCTAGCGCCGCTTAACGGAGTGAGCTCCCGTTACTTGTCCCAGCTTCTGCCAACCTAGCAGTTCAAAAGCATGTAAAAATGCAAGTAGAAAAAAAAATAGGAACCAGCTTTGGTGGGAAGGTAACAGTATTCCGTGCACCTTCAGTGTTTAGTCATGCCAGCCACATAACCACGGAGACGTCTTTGGACAGCGCTGGCTCTTTGACTTTGAAACGGAGATGAATACCACCCCCTGGAATCAGGAACTGCTAGCACATATGTGCGAGGGGAACCTTTACCTTTAGCGATATTTGCAATGTTGCCATACACCTTGGATGTACCCCCCAGAAATCAGGTATTATTCCAGACTCAGAATCTCTCTTTACTTTTCATTGTAGACATTCCCAGTAGTAGGAGTCAATATAAAATTAAAACAACAGTAAGCAAAAACCAAAAGTAATTTTCCTCATGATCAGAAAATTAATTTTCCTCATGATCCTTAATTTGGAACTACCTTGGTTGAACCAAAAGCTTCACTAAACATGGAATGTGTGAGGAAAAGCCAGAATTATCCTTGCTGATTTTACTTTTCTTCCTTTCAGCATGCTTGGAAATGTCTCATTCCCTGGAGGATCTTTGGGTGCAGCCATCCCCATCATCTTCCCATACAGATTTATTGTTCTGCCGCAACCACCTTTCTGCCAAGATGAGAATCAATCGGCTGTCTCTGAGTAGGCGTCACAGCCTGAGTGGCCTGACTCAGGTGAAATGTAAAAGCACAAAGCTGTGGCAAGGTTCCGAGGAAGAGCTAGCAAGAAGTGAGAGATACTATAGGGTGAGTTCAGCCTTTTATAGTACTTTTCTCAGAATTCATTTATTTGTTTATGTGTTCGATTTATACGGCTGCCCATTGCAAGCATAACTCTGGGCAGCTAACATGGAATAAAAATAAAATAAAACCATCATAACAAGATAATATTAAAGCAGCTAAGATAAAACCAAACAGCACTTTCAACACTAGAGAGGACTGTAAAGCACCGTGAAGCGGAATATACCGTATTTTTTGGAGTATAAGACGCACCAAGATTTTGAAGAGGCAAATTAAAAAAAAAAAAGTTTTTGCACTCTTCAGACCTCCCCAAAATGGCCTGTTTTTTCACAAAAATGGCCCAGTTTTTTTGTCAAAAAAGGGCATGCATAGCCTTTAGGAGGCTTCCAGAGTGCTCATGGGGGCTGGGGGGCAAAAACGAGCAAAAACACAGCCTGTTTTTCACTCATTTTTGCTCTCCCCAGCCCCCAGGAGCACTCTGGAAGCTTCCTAAACGCTCTGCACGGCCATTTTTGCAAAGGGGTGGTGTTTCAGGAGGCCAAAAATACTGTATTCAGTGTATAAGTCACACCCAGACTTTCACCCTCTTTTTTGAGGGAAAAAGGTGCATCTTATACTCCAAAAATATGGTAAGTCTAAGTGCTATTGCCATTATCATGATACAGGTGGTATTTAGACACATACAATATACAATAATGTGATTCCAGGCTTGATAGATTCTTTGGGATATAACTATTCCAAGAGGTGAACAGCAATAAAAATATATTAATTAATGTTCTAATATTATAATGTAACTTTTTAAAAAAGTATTCAGATCCAACTAAAATGTATAACAACAACAACAGCAACAATAACAACAACAACAACAATAACAACAAATAAACATCCAGCAACCCAACCGGCAGTTAAAGCCTGCTTGCTTATCAAAGCTTTTTCTATTTTTTTTTAAAAATTGCAAACAAATAGTGTCAAGGGAGTTTTGATCCATATGTGGAGTCAAACCTGGAATGTAGATAATGTTTTATGGCTTGTGGTCACAATCTGTCTGGGATGGTGGTTTGCATAGTCACAGAAGAACAGTCCTGGTGGACAAAGGCAGCAAAGAAATCCTCCTTTCTGAATCCTCCAGATCAGGGTTCCCAATCTCTGGGCCATGGCTCAGTACTGGGCCACGTGTTCTGACTGAGACTTCCCAAGACCATGCAGCAAACTCCTTGTCCCGGCAAAAAACCATTGTATTAATTTACAGTGAATTCTGCTCATTCACAGCCAACAAAGTCTTTCAAGGGAGAATTTACAGTCACAGACCTTATCTGATTTGGAGAGCTGACAGGCCGATATCTGCAGAACTTGGCAAGGAGTCTCAGAGACTCACAAACCAATTAAGCGACCTAATTGTCTCCTGCAAACTCCACTCTTCTTTTATTTCCTTTTGGAAGGGCCATTCTTTGTCTGGCCTTACTCCCAAGTTGGCCCCTGCCCTTTAGTTTTTCCCTTCGTCTGGCACATGCACACACTGGGAACAGGCTCCAGCTGTTTGTCTGCCTCACTGCTGTCTGACTCTGAAGGCAGCTGATAACTGGCATACGGCTCTGGCGCCTTCTCTGCCTCCGACACAGAGCCCTCATCAGAAACTTCTCCAGGACTGGCCCATGTTCCTCCCCAACCTCCTCACTGTCTGAATCTACTGCCAGCTCCACTGGCTGCTGGTGGGTCTCAACACCACGGCTCATTCAGAACCAGACCGCAGAAGTGGAGGGTGAGCGCATGTGTACACACATGCTCACCTGCCACTCACGTGGAACCATCCTCTTCCCCCTCCCCACTGATCTGCAAAGCCGGAAAGTTTGGGGCATGCTGCTCCAGATGCTTCCTTATCTACCCATTCTTACCTTATTCCTCACAGCAGCTGAGCTCAGTTCTAAATGAAGCATTGGGCCACAGCCACCCACCATTTTAAACTCCTTAGATTGCCTAGAGCAGTGTTTCTCAACCTTGGTGACTTTAAGTCCTGTGGACTTCAACTCCCAGAATTCCCTAGCCAGCTGCTGGAGGATTATGGGAGTTGAAGTCCACAGGACTTAAAGTCACCAAGGTTGAGAAATACTGGCCTAGAAGCTTATGTGCACCACTGAGCAGTCTTGTATAAAAAGGTCATATTGGATCCAGCACTTTGCCTTACGCCATGCTACCCTTCTATTCAATAATAAATGCTTTTATAAAAACAATGGTCAGAGTGACTCAAAGAACCAAGACAGCCTCATTGGTGCCTACAGACACAAGGTTGCCATCGAAATGCCCTTGAACATAAGCCTAAATTTCCAGAACTTGAATTCTATCTTTTTGTAACCTACTCATTTCTGGGTTTCAGTCATTCATCTAATTTTGTTGTTGCTTTTGTGCTGAAAATCACACAATCTTGCTGATCTACAGTGGAGCATCCTGAAAACGCATGTTACATTTCAATCTACCTTCTATTCACGCTTGACAAGGTATGAGCAGTTTCATGCCTTTATGTTTCTGTTTGCACATTCTACAGCCTGATAGTTTTGGGAGCTTTCCAGCAATGAGAGAGAGCTAAGTCTATCTCTGAACATCAGAATTCAGGGTCTAATATTTAGGCATCTGCTATCTCTCTGGATGTGGACTTCCTATTAAGTTGCTTTTCCATAAGCCTGTTAAAAAAATTATCTAATTAATTGCCTGACGATCCTACAGCTTTATCAATGAATTCTACTGAGTATTATGTCAAGAAATATGAGGCTGGTTTAAGTATGTTGAGCCTCCTGCAATTAATCTGTGTAATTCCTCTTTCTTAGGGACATTATAATAACAATAGCAATAGCACAGGTTGCATGTGGAGCCATTTCTGAGGGCACGCGAGGCATTGCCCTGTCAGCTCCAGCACACATGCACACTGGCCAACTGATTTTTGACCTTGATTTTTGGCTATTTTTCGCCAGCAAACAACCACCCAACGGATAAGCCTCCTGAAGCCTCCTGAAGCCTCCAGAGGGTGAAAAACGGCCCAACCGGCAACCCGGAAGTCTGTTCCCGAACTTCTGGTTTGCATGTTGGACCATTTTTTTGCCCTCTTCAGGCTCCAAGAAAGCTATGCCCACATGCACGGAGCAGTGGGGGAGGGTCACACGCACATGCGCAGGGGGCATGGCGGGAGGGGGCATTAAATTATGGGGGTGGGCTTTTGGCACCCGAGGCGAAAAAGGTTCGCCATCACTGTCCTAGGTAAAAATGCTGCAAGTGAGCAGAAGTAGGCATTGGCTTCACCCTCAGAGCTATAGAAGCTGGTATTAGGTGTTCCTAAAATCATTTGACTGGCTTCCCTTGGCTTCTTCCTAGAATTCCTGTTCTACCATATGTCCAAGTATCAGTTGTTTATTTACATTATTTGTTATTTTTGGCCGTCTATATTTCCTTGGGGCTACTCTAGGTAGCTTACAATAATAAAAAGGAAGAGATGAAAACAGAACAAACGTAAAGTAGTAGAACAATAAAAGAAAAAATGAAGAAGAATTCTACGAAAATACATCAACATGATAACTGTTTTGACACCCCCACCCCCCCGTCCCACACCAACACACACTCCGAGCCAGAGATAAGTTACGGCATTTAATTAAGGGACAGACAGGTCCTTGGCAGCAAACCGACACAGACAAACTTGGGCAGCAATAAACACAGATAAGGCTTGGCAGCAATCCAGCCTGCCAAGCTCACAGTAATGTCCTCCAACATTCAATCCTGCATTGACTTCTGCAAACAGGGTCGTGTGCACAAGGAGTCTTTTTATAGTCTGGAGAGAAGCCTAATGACCACCAGCTGAGTGCAATTACCTCCTGTAACTGCGCAACTGTTCCTGATGCCTAGTAGCTCTTCNCAGTGGTGGGTTTCAAAATTTTTTGGAACCTCTTCTGTAGGTGGGGCCTGCTTTCTGGGTCCACTGGTGGAACCTCTTCTAACTGGTTCGGTAGATTTGACGAACCGGTTCTACCGAATAGGTGCGAACTGGTAGGAACCCACCTCTGTTCAGACCTAAGAAATCACAATATCTAAGGCATTTAGTTAACTGGCACTGTACATCACTTATATTTTCACCACATCTAAATTTAGTGCTGTAATTATTTTCATCACAGGTGAAAAGTTAGGATGCTGAGGCCCAGAATTGCCGGCTCTTTTGAATCAACCTGACTTGGCAAGATGTTTTCAAGTCGGAGACAGTTCTTGGATGGGTTCAATCACCCCCAGAGTGAATCTTCTCTGGATTCTCCAGGCAGTGTGATGCTGCAGGCTCTCTATGACTATCAGTACAAATCTGAAGATGGGAGGCAGGTGACCATTGAGGAAGGGGAGATCTTCCACCTTATGCACAAGGCCAATGAAGATTGGTGGCAGGTGAAGCGGTTTGGCCAGCCCAAGCAGAAGAGGCCCATCTTTGTCCCAGCATCCTATGTGGCTGAAGTGACCTATGATGAACTACAGCAAAATGGCTTCTTGTATCCTGGCATCCTTTCAGAAAAGGATGAAGGTCCAGGTGAGTTGTTTTTTGAAGTTCAAGGGATTAAACCACAGTTGGGCAACTTCAACTCCAGAGAGTTGGAACTCTCAAGAAACTTTGTACTATCTCTAGAGTTTCCACCACCACAAAAGCTGAACATTGGATGGACATTCCAGAGGTGGGTTCTTACCAGTTCGGATTGGTTCGGCAGAATAGGTAGTAATTTGGCTGCCCACGCACCCAAAGCAGTTCTATTGTCGGCGCTACCATCTTTGTTTTTGCTTCTGCGCATGTGAAGAACAGTCTGCATTACAGAAATATAATCCCCCCCCCTTTCTTACATTCTGCGCATGCGCTGACCTTTTTAGGTGTAAATGCACATGTGTGAGGAGCATTTGCATGCTGAACCAGCAGTAATGCTTGTAGCAACCCACCCCTGGAACATTCCCATAATTTTGAGGTGGAAACATTACATACAAAAAATGCCGTTTAT